TGCGGAGACAGACGAGATCACGCTAGCGGTGCTGCTTGCGAGCATCCAGACTTTTAAGGTTCCGATTCCACACACCATCGTACCCTTCTCATGTAGTTTGCTCGTAGCTGGGTTTGGACCCCTTGCTGACCTTCGACGCAAGAGCATCGACTCACCGTCGCAGATTCCGGGTCCACCGAGCGACGGATCGGAAGGCATTAATCACCCTTCACCCAGCCTCGCATGGAGAGTAAGGCGGCGTACTAGTAATAGTTACAGCAATCCATCGTCTTAACGAAACATCAATGCAATCTATCAAGTTGCGTCGAGTCCGGTGCACATGGAGCAAGCAAGCCAAATCACACTGCAGACATCAACCATTTAGCGCAAGATAGACTGCGCTGATAATACCTCGTCGCGAATACGTCCGATACGACCGACAATCGAGATGTGTGACCGGTTGCGCCGGGCAAGCGGCAGCTCGCACACCTTGCTAGGCATGTCGACGGCGAAATGCCTGGCGACAGCTACATCCAGCGACGGAAATGAGCTAGCGTCACGTCGATGGTGCGTACCTTCGTCGAAGCGGCGAGAGCGCGGCGACGGCGTGCCGAGCGCAGCGACTGCCCAAGATACGATCTGGAGCCTGCGGAGCTCGGAGACGTCGTCTTGGACGCCACACATCGTCGAGTCGGGCCCAGGCAGTAGCACCACTGCCGTACGCGGGCGTCGTCGGCTGCACCGAGCGCCTTTGTATCGTCGCGAGCTCGTCGCATGCGGCGCGCCAGCGTCGACTTGCAGGTTTGTCGTAGCCCGTGGCCTCGTCATGAAGCCGCTTGGTCTGTCGATGTTGGTAGATGGCGCGCATGCCATTGGATGAAATCCTGTCTACGCCACATTTGATTCGCTCCAATATCTCCAGGATCACGATGCGATTGGCCTAGAAGACTATTTACAAACATGATCCGCAAGCTCGTCACTCGAAGCAACACTATATCACACCGTCAAACCCGCCTGACAGTCATGCTTTGTCTGCGTCTTTCTTGTCGTCGCCGGCGTTCTGCCGCCTCGTTCGTTGCCAGAGAGACTCATTGATACCGTTGGCGATATGCGTCTCGCCTCAAGTAGCCCACCGCCGGCTTGCGTCTCTAGCAACAAGGTACTGCCCACTACATTTGTACCGTCTCCAGGACGACGCCATTCATGCTACCTCGTGTAGATAGACGCCGCGCGATGATTCCCTTGTAGAAGCGAGAACCAACATGCTTTTAC